TTCCCTCCCTCCCTCTCCCCTCCCTTCTTTTCTTTACCTGTAAGTGTTAACCATGTACCAGACACTGTGTTAGGTCTAAAAAATATAAATCTCACTTTTTAAAAGCAAAAAAGAGGCTAGGCTGGTGATTCACATCTGTAATCCTAGGCTCAGAAAACTGATATCTGAGGATTGTAGTTCAAAGTCAGCCTGGGCAGGAAATGCCTTAGAGACTCTTTACTCAGAAAAAGCTGGAAATGGCACTGTGGCTCAAATGGTAGAGTGCTGGCCTTGAGTAAAAGAATCTCAGAGACTGGGGCTGGGAAGGTGGCTCAGTGGTAGAGCACTTGCCTTGCATGCATGAGGCCCTGGGTTCGATTCCTCAGCACCACATAAGAAAAAAGCCGGAAGTGGCGCTGTTGCTCAAGTGGTAGAGCGCTAGCCTTGAGCTGAAGAGCTGAGGGACAGCGCCCAGGCCCAGAGTTCAGGCCCCACGATCGGACCCCCCCCAAAAAAAAAAAAAAAAAAAGAAAGAAAAAGAATCTCAGAGACTATGCTCAAGGCCCTGCATTCAAGCCCCAGGACACACGCACACACCCACAAGAAAGTGAAAAGGACAGTTGGGAAATATAACAGCTCTATTCTGCTGCTCAGGGGAACAGCCTATGCAGGTTAAATAACTAGAGACAAGTTGTTAGCAAGGCAAGCTGAGGTTGAATCTTCTACCATGGTCCGGAGTTGAACAGGACTAGATGAGAAGTCCATCAGGACCACGAACAAACAACATACTTGGTTCTGAACAGACCAGGTATCTAAACTAGGCACCTGAGGGTCATGCCTGTAAACCTATCTGTTCAGGAGGCTGCAATCTGAGGATCAAGGCTCATAGCCAACCCAGGCACAGACGTCTGTGAATCTCTTATCTCCAGTTAATCACCAAAGAGTTGGAAGTGGAAGTGTGACTCAAATGGAAGAGCACTGGCCTTGACAAAAAAAAAAAAAAGCCAACAGACAACCCCCCCAATCCCTAAGTTAAAGCCCCAGTACTGGCAAAAATAAAAAGAAAACAAACAACAAAAAAACCCCAGGAACCTGATTTCCTCATTCTAGCTCTGTCCTGGGTGAGCTGCAGATAAAATTATAATAGTAATCAAAATAGCTATTACCACTTACTGTATGGATCAGGCACTATGCCAAATAAACTATCTACCACACTCTCTCAACTATCTAGGGGGCTGGGAAGGTGGCTCAGTGGTAAAGTGCTTGCCTTGCATACATGAGGACCTAGGTTCGATTCCTCAGCACCACATAAACAGAAAAAGACTGAAGTGGCGCTGTGCCTCAACGTGTAGAGTGCAAGCCTTGAGCTGAAGAGCTGAGGGACAGCGCCCAGGCCCTGAATTCAAGCCCCAGGACTAGCAAAAAAAAAAAAAAGAAAGAAAGAAAGAAAAGAAAAAAAGAAAGAAAGAAAACCAACCAAACAAAATCAACTATCTAGGATGCCAAGTCACCGTTTCCTGTCTTTAAAAGTGGGTTCCAGGCTCCAGGAACCTTGAGGAATCTGCCCACAGTCATACAGGCATTGAGTGGCAGGGATGGGACTGGCATTCAGCTTGTCCAACACCCAAATCCAGGTCTACTGTCTGTATGTTAAACTAGAGGTTGACCAGATGGCCTTACCTACCCACTCAAGTACAAATCCCAGTCTGGGTACCTGCAGAGTGGGTGGTCTGCTCTGCAGTGTAAGGCAGCTCTGGATTAGATGAGCTCAGAGGTTGAGAGTGCCTAAGCTTAGGGCTTAGAAATTCAGAGCAGACAAGGGGTGTGAGGCTTCACTTTGTTCCACTAGCCTCTTCTCTTTGGCTGCCAATCACATCCCCAAGCACAGCCGTCTCTCAGAACAGGGCACCCGAGGACAGTTCTCAGTGTCTCCAGACAGAAGCCTGGCAGAGGAAATGCTTCTCCACCCACTTGATTTCCTGGCCCATGATGTCTCTTCCATCTGGCTCGTTCATTTGTGTATCCATTCAATAAATCATTACTGCATGCTGGCTCTGCCCTACTGTGGACAAAGAACTGAAGGTGGGTGGGTAGGAGAGACAAAACACATACAAAGAGTTGTTCAAGGTGGAACTTCCTGAGGACCACAGGAAGTCTTCTGTGAGTGTGGGGGGGCAGATCACCCCCAGATTTTACGGAAGTAAAGGAGTGTGTATTAAGTGAAGTTCCCAAGAGGTAGAGTTGGGCCTCCAAGGAAGGGTAGGAGGAGTCCAACTGCACAGCTAAGGCTGAGCATAGCAGTTCACCCCTGTCATCTATTCAGGAGACAGAAATAGGAGGACTGAGGTCCAAGGCTAGACCAGCTAAAGTAGAAGACCCTCTGTGGAAAACACATTTTCAAAATGTAGCAAAGGGCCTCGGGTGCAGGTAGCTCATGCCTGTAATCCTAGCTACTCAGGAGGCTGAGATCTGAGGATTGCAGTTCAAAGCCAGCCTGGGCAGGAAAGTCCATGAGACTCTTATCTCCAGTTAACCACCAGAAAACCAGAAGTAGAGCTGTGGCTCAAGTGGTAGAGCCTTGAGCTGAAGAGCTGAGAGACAGCATCCAGATCTAGACTTCAAGCCCCATGACAGACAAAAAAGTAGCAAAGGGACCTTCCCTTTCAGAGAGTGGAAACAGCATGAGCAAAGGCCGGGAGGTCAGAGAGCATGGGGATGTCAGGGCCCTAAGGGAGCAGTTCCATGCGGCAGGATGGTGGTGGAGGGAGAGCACAGTGAGCAAGATGGCTGATGGGTGGACCAGCAGAAGCTGTGTGTGGTGGCATGTCCTCTCAGTCACAGGCTGACCCTTCTGGAGTGGGGTCAGGTGAAATGGAGAAAGACCAGAAAAGTTCCAGGCACACACACTTCCCACCTTCCACTGCCACATTTGAGGCCCTTTAAGCACTCCAAACCTATCAGCAGACCTCAGAGCCTCAAGCATGGAAGGAGTTTCCCATGATTCCAAACCCAGAATCTCCAAACACAGTGCTCTACTCAAAGTGTGGCGCCTCCCCATTCTGTCTCTTTGTTGCCCCCCTCACCCCCCTTTCAGCAGGCCTTAGGGCACTGCTGGGAAATCTGGTACTTGCCAAATGTGGTTTGAAAACCACTGGTCCAGCCCACTTGCAGGAATCCGAAGGCTGCCTGGTGCCAGCCCCTTTCCTCTGCCTCACTCATCTAAGAACAAAGGAGATGCTCAAGTAAGTACATAGATGAGGATGGGCGTGGTTCCTAGGACACGCCTCTCCCCTGGGTACCAGTGTTGCCAGGACTGCTGGATGTCTAATGCTAGTGGCCGCTGAGCTGTGCTGGCTTACTTCTGGCTTATCTCATCCCCAACCCAGTGAGGAGGGAGGTCGGACCAGGTCCTCCTTCCACCATACACATTAATGGAGGGAGGGCTGGGCACTGGTGGTTCATGCCTGTCATCCTAGCTATTCAGAAGGCTGAAGTCTAGAGATTACAGTTCTAAGCCAGCCCAGCAGAGATGGAATAGGGAGGCTCCACACTTGAACTCTTACCTCTTTAATCTAACTTTAGCAAAAAAGTCAGAAGTGGAGGTGTGGCTCAAGTGGTAGAGCACTAGCTTTGACTGGAAAAAACTAGGCAAAAATTTAAGGCCCTGAATTCAAGACCCATTATTGGTACAAAAAAAAAAAGGACTGGAGGTAGGCCAGGTGAAAGCACTCACATGCTTTTTCATTTCACCTGTAGAGAGCATAGCTTAGGTGATGGAAAGATGGAGGCTCTGTGTGTGCATGTGTGTGTTCATGTGTGTGTTTGTCTCTATGCTGGGAGGCTACCGGGAGATGAAAGTAGAGGAAGTGGGGCAGAGGCTGGGAGCAGACCTCTGAGGTCTTCCTCAGTCCCTGCGTACTTAATTTATGCACATCCTTTGAGAAAGGCAGACCCTCGAGCCGCACCACCTACCACAGTGCCTGTTGTAGGCCTGTGCTTATACTAATAACTCTGCTGCTAGCCTCTGGTTCAAGAGGATGTGTTGTGACCTTGTTGCCGGTTAAGGCTATCTCGACTAACACCAGAGGCTACCTTGCTCAGCCAGCACCAGAGGCTACCCTGAAGCCCATCACTGGCTCACGGGCCTGACATGTCACTTCCTCTCCTCCTGCCTCAAATGAGAGATACATCAGCAGAATCTGGGTAGAGGGTAACAGAGAAGGTATACCATGTGAACTCCTTGCCGGATGAGTTCTTGTCACCCCTGGTTGGGTTGTGCAGTTAGCCCTAGCTTTGTTCTGCAGAACCCTCTGATCCTGTGTGGGTTCCACTGGGGTAAGGGGGTGGTGGCCACCTCTATTCTAGCAGCTCTGGAAAGAGGCATCAGCAGCCATCACTGCTGATGGCCCAGGCCACTCACACTTCTGGGTGAGTCTGGGATCAATGCCCAACTCAGCCCAGAAATAAAGCATCCAAGCTCCAGACCCAATGTCACGAGAGTCTGGACACATCTCTCCAGTTCTCGGAAAGAACACCAGGCTGCCCACCTTTCTTCCCTACAACCTGTCCTCCCTTATCCCCAGGGAGAACACACACACACACACACACACACACACACACACACACACACACACACACACACACACACACACACAGTCTGCGCTCCGTGCTGTACCATACCCATGCAACTTCTCAAAAAAAAAAAAAAAAAACCACAAAAGACAAAAAGCTTCCAGCCCAGCATCCCCTCCCAGCGGGTGCATCAGAGTCGAGGTGTATAGACATTGTGGGAGGCTGAGACAGACAAACAGGCAGACAGATGCTGTTCGTCTGGGGCTCTGAGAGGAGGTCCACGTTATTGCCTCCTTCCCTGCCATGAGGGGAAAAGCTTCCTGGCAGCAGCCCCCACTCCAAAGGCAGAGATGGCTCCAGATGCTAAAAGCCAGGGTCTTCTCTTGCCCTTCAGGGTTGTGATGATCTCACCCCCACGAGGCCTGGCATTAAACACAACACAGGAGTGGTGACAGGGCTGAAAAAGCAGGTCCACTTTATTTACAATGATCAGTTGGTGACACACAAATCTTTGGGCTTTTTGTGGCCTTGTGGGGACACCTGAACAGGGCCCACCCCCTCTGTTGGGTGAATACACCCTCCTCCTCCTTCTGCCTATGAGCGACCTATCTGCTCCGAGATCTTTGGCTTGGGGCATCTCTGTCCCTAAGATCTATCGAAGGATCTCCTTACCTCCTTTGGAGGTCCCATCTTGGTCCTGCTTGTTGGGCACTGATTGTGGGTGTCACTTATATTACTGCAGAGTGGGTAGGGTGGGAAATCGTGGTGAATACCAAGGCAAAGGCTTGGGCAGCTGCCTGGTGCAGAGATCTTACCAGGCCCAACCCTAGGAGGTGGGACCATCCTAGTCTCCAGAGAGTGGAGACAAGAGGGTGACGGTTCTTCCCTGCGTGTTTTGGGCCCCAGGTGTAGTGCCCACTTTGGGCCTGGCCTCGGTTCTCCCCAGTCTGTCTCTCCATCCTTTCCCTCTGGCAATTCTTCTTCAAGGAAGAAGACCAGAGGGACCCAGGGCAGGGCCACTGCCTCTGCCATGCCTCCCGCGGGGTCCCAACTCACCCTGGAGTTTCTGGAAACTCCGCTTGCTTCCCCTTCTCCGGGAAGGATGTTTCCAGGAGAGAGGGGAGGTCCGTGAGCAAAAGGCCTTGGTGTAAAGCAAGGGGGATATTTCCACAAAGGGAGGACCCAGGGAACTCTAGATGTGGGGAGAGACGACCCCTCCCCCAATCCACCTTAGTAATCAAGAACATTCCAGGTATCCACCTGAGCCAGGGGCGAGGCGACCACCACGGAGGACACGGAGGGAGGCAGGATCAGAGACCAGGAGGAGCCAAAGCAGGCAGGACTGGGCTGGAGGCTGTGAGTCCGGAGGGCCGCTGGGGGGGCCGCGGGGTCCGGGGACTCTCAGCGCGCCTGGCCCGCCCGCTCCCTGGCGCCGCCGGCCTTCCAGCGGCGGGGCTGCGCGGGCGGCAGGGGCGCCGGGGCGCCCCGCAGGCTGCACGTCCTCAGCTCGCGGGCCAGGCTGAGCACCTCGGGCCGTTCGCGCTGGGGGGCTGCGCCCGGGCGCTCCTCGGCGTGGGGGTCCTGCTCCTCGCCGCCGTCGTCGTCGTCCTCTTCCTCGGGCTCCTCCTCCTCGTCCTCCTCCTGGATGCTGCTGAGGCGGGGCGCGCCGCGGCCGCGCTCGGCGGGCGGCGGCCGGTAGGCGCACTTGGCGTTGAGCAGGCGGCGCAGCGGGGCGCGGGGCAGCGGGGCGGCGGCGCCCCCGGCGCGGAGGTGCTGCTGGCGCACGTGGCGCGCGTCGCTCTGGCGCTGCAGCCGCTTGAAGTCGCTGAAGGCCGCCAGCGCGGCCTGGCGGAGTCGGCGGGCCAGGGAGCGCGCCTTGTGCGCCCGCGCCAGCAGCACGGCGTGGCAGCGCAGCACCACGGCCTTGTGGCGCGCCTGGTGGCGGTAGACCCAGGCGAAGACGCGCGGGTGGCGCGCGTCCGCCGCGCAGTGGGTGATGCGGGGCAGCAGGTAGGCGTGCGTGGGCCTGCGGCCCCCCGAGCCCCCCGAGACGCCGCGCTCGCACGGCTGCATGCGGATCCCGTGCGGCCCCAGCGTCAGCTTCATCTTCGTGCCCCCGCCCGGCCCGCAGCGCGCCCAGATCTTGCCCACGGCGTCGTCGGTGCAGCCGTCGCCCTTGGCGTGCAGGGTGACGGCGTTGCCCAGGTACCACACGGTGTAGGTGGGGTCCTCCTTGTTGAGCTCCACTTTCTGGCGCCGGCTGCGGAAGACGCGGCCCAGGCGCTCCAGCGGCCAGTCGGGCAGCAGGTCCGGGCAGGAGCGCAGGAAGCTGGAGAGCAGCGACGTGTAGGCCAGCCCGGGGCTCAGGCTCTTCGTCTTGCACTTGGCCTCGTCCTCCACCAGCACGAATTTATTCCGTCTCCAGGGCAGCATCGCGGCGGCCACAGCGGCTGGCGTGGGGCGGGGGGTCTCGGGGCGCTCACGGGGTGTCCCGGCCGGGGGCCGGGGAAGGGGGAAAGCTGGCAGAGCCCCCCACCCCCACCCTCCGCCCCGCAGCCGCGGGAAGCTGGGTGGCGCCGGAGACAGTCGCTGCTCCGGATGCCCAGGGGCACGGCGGGGCTAAGCGTCGCAGGTGCCCGGTGTCCAGCCTGACTGGCCGCCGAGATGCCCGGCGGTGGCCGGGAACCGCGCGTCCTCCTCGAGAGCGGCTCCCACCGTCTTGGGAAGCGACGAGGGGCTGGCGGTTGGTGGGGTCAGAGGTGGTGGATGCCCCCGCCCCAGATCCAAATAAGGGGTCGATTCCCACGGTCCCTTCCCCGCCCCCCTCCCGCGCCGCCCCGACTGCGGCTGCGGCTGGGAGGTGGCCCGAGCCCGAGCTGGCGGCTGCTCGGCGGGGTAGACCGAGAGCTGGGCTGCGGCGGGGACTCCTCCGGGCGTCGCGGCCCCACCTCCCCGGGCCGCCTGCATCACCGGGCGGGACCGCCAGCTCTCCTGGCCCCGCCCCTCGCCCCGGCCCTCCCCCTCCGCGCAGGCCCAGCACTCGCGCGGCGGGATGGGGTTCATCGTTATCCTTGGAGGGCTGGGGGTAGAGGGGCGGCTAAGGGGTGGGGCTCCCCTGAAATACGCCGGGGGGGGGCTTGGCCAGTGTAAATTCCTCCCCAGCTCCCCAGTGGTGCGATCAGAGACCCCCTCCCCACTTCCTCCGTTTCTTAGCGTTTCAGCTCATCGCCCCTCAACCTCAGCACGCCCTTTCCACCCCATCCCCAAGAGGAAGATTTGGGGGTGGGTTCTTGATGAGGCCATCCAGGAGCACTTTGCCTCCGGTCTGCGCAGCGCCAAGCCAGCTGGGGTGGCCGAGCAGGGCAGTGGAAAAGTACTGTCGCTTGGTGAAGCTTTCTCCCAGGTTCTCCAAGGTCGTGGGCCAGGCCCTTGCGCCTGGACTGGCAGATGGGCCCCGGCTTTAGGCCTGGTCAGAAGCAGAGAGGGTGAGGGTACTGTGTTTTTTTGTTTTTTGTTTTTTGAGGGGTGAGGGGGATTTCAGGAGTTTTGCTTCCAGAGCATTCTGTGAGACTTGTAGAAGAAAAGCTCCTTCTGGCCAAAGTGCAAACCTCTGGGCTCGCTAAAGATTAAATAGGTAGCTCGAAGTTGAGACAGGCCTCCTGTGATTCCGGGTATTCAGCATTTACTAGCTCATTTAATCCTCAGAACAGCTCAGTTCTGTTAAATGGTGGTCACATGGAGGGCCCCACAGGCTGGTCCCTATCCTTCTGTCCTTCCCCACAACATTTGCCCACACACTGCACATAAAACTCATGAGGGGACTGGTTCTTGTTAGAGCAGGTTCTAATGCACTCATGGTCCTGGGTGTTTGTGAAGCCACAAGCGCCCTAGTGTCTTGAACACTTTTCTAGTGAGGACCCAGAGTCTCACTGCCCTGAGCACTCGCTCTCCCTCTCTCATAGCTACCATATAAGCTCTTTCCATGGCTCCTTGACAAGTCATTTGGGGTGACTTCTAGACTCTTCTAGGTCAGGAGTGAGTCCAGGTCTGGACAGGCCTGAATTGAAAGCCAAGCCCCATGAAAGGCAAGAGAGGGAGAAGTCAGGGACAAGATTGTGTGTTCACTTTGGGCCAGCAGGCAGGAGGGGTGGCTGGCTGGGTTCAGTATCCCTAGAAGAATAAAAAATAAATGGCCCAGCTGGGCACCCATGGCACACACCGGTAATCCTTGCTACTTAGAAGGCTGAGGTCTAAGGATCATGGTTCAAAGCCAGCCTGGGCAAGAAAGTCTGTGAGACCTTTATCTCCACTTAACCACCAGAAAACCAGAAGTGGTGCTGTGGCTCAAGTGGTAGAGTGCTAGCCTTGAGCCGAAGAGCTCAGGGACAGCTCCCAGGCCCAGAGTTCAAGCTCCACAACCTACAAATAACAACAACAACAAAACAACAATAATAACAATAATATGGCCCACACTAAGGGATGCAGAGTAAAGGACTTAACTTGCAGAATCTTGATGCAAAGGGTGCCCTGCAGATGATCTGGTCCACCACACACTCATTTTTCCAGTATGGTCATGTCTTTATTGCTTTTTTTTTTTTTTTTTTTTTGGTCAGTCGTGGGGTCTGAACTCTGGGCCTGGGCACTGTCCCTCATCTCTTCAGTTCAAGGCTAGTGCTCTACCACTTGAGCTTCAGCACCACTTCCAGTTTTTTCTGCTTATGTTGGGCTGAGGAATCTAACCCAGGGCCTCATGCATGCGAGGCAAGCACTCTACCACTGAGCCACCTTCCTAGTCCCCTCTTTATTGCCTTTTGCTGATTATAAAAAGTAATACATAGTAGTGGTAACAATTCACATCAGGATAGAAAAGTCTCCGACTGTTCCCACCTGCTACGTGACCTGGTTTTTCAGGGAGAAATGGGCTTAGGGAGGCCAGAGGTCATTGGAATGTTTTTTGCTTTGCTTTAAAAAAAAATTTAATGGTGCCAGATTTGTCTTTTGAACAGTGGAGACCTTCCCTTCACCCAATGAAATCCCTTTATAGAAAGCACTTTGTGTTGGTTTTGACCTTAGAGTCACTGGAAAATTCTTCCAGGTTCTTTCTTGGCCCTCCTACATCCACCCTCCTGACCCTGCTGGCTGAGGGCCAACTTCCCACAATAGTGGGCATCCCCCAACCATCTGCTTGCAAGGCAAAGAAAACCTCCAAACCTTTGTGGGAAGGAAGGTGTTTCCATCTTAGGGTTGTTAGAACTGAAATATAAAACATTTGCCTGGTTTCAAATAATTAGACCATTTTTTAAAAGCATATCTCATTCTGTCTCTTTAACGCCTGCCCCAAGTTCCAATGTAAGTAGAAGGAATGAAGTTGTGGAATATCTTAGACATTAGAACCACATATTTTGGAGACAGAAGCTCATCTGTGTTCATTAAACTACTCTGAGAAGCTGGGTGCTGGTGGCTCATGCCTGTGATCCTAGCAACTCAGGAAGACTTGAGATCTGAGGGTCAAGTCTATGAATCTCTTATCTCCAAATAACCACCAGAAAACCAGAAGTGGTGCTGTGGTTCAAAGTGGTAGAGCACTACCCTTGAGCAAAAGAGCTCAGAGACAGTGCCCAAGACCTGAGTTCAAGCCCCACAACCACCACCACCACCAACAACAAAAGTATGTTCCATACTTTATCTGTTGACTTGTGCCTACCTGGAGGAGTAGAGGGGAAGGAGAGGCCAGTGAGCACTATATGGTCAGAGCCTCACTCCCATCCCTAGCCTAGCTTCCCTCTTCTTAAATCTGAGGATGTAGCTTCTGTTTTCTTTGCTTTGGGGCCAAAGGGGGGTGGGGGGAGGAGTCTGGAACTGCCTGTTTTTCTGTTAATACTCCTAACCTAAAGCCCCAGTTAACCTTTGAGAGAGTGGTACTCTTTTCCAATCACTTTGTTAATGATTTGTTATCACCTTTGTTAAATTGTTTACTGCTCACCTGGTAAAATTCTTTCCAATTACTCTTAGGTTTATAGTATCCTACCAGGCTCCTTAGTATACCACCAAGCTGTGTTGGGCATTTCTGCTCTTCTAAACTTGTTCCTTGAGAGGATTTAGCTGCTCTCTTCTGTCCAGGTGGCTACAAAATCTGGTCTAGGCCCACTAGTAGAGGCGGAATTAAAGACTGTCTATTCTGTGGAGCTTTCCACAGCAAGAGCTCCTGGGCTCAGCACCAAGTTATTGCCCTTCATAGTCTGACATGTAGTCAGGTGGTTTTGTGTTTGTTTTTTTAAAAATCTTTTTCTATTTTTTTTTCAGTTTTATTTTTTTCCAACCCTGCTTGGTGCTTGAACTCAAGACCTGGTTGCTGTCCTTGAGATTTTTTTTTCTCTCAAGGCTAGTGTTCTACCTCTGGAGCCACAGCTTCACTTCTGTTTTTTTTTGTTTTTTTTGTTGTTGTTGTTAATTGGAGTTGTCTCAGACTTTCCTGCCCAAGTTAGCTTTGAACCACAGTCCTCAGATCTTATGTCAATCTTCTGAATAGTTAGGATTACAGGCCACTGGTGCCTGGCTCTTTCTTAATCCCTTCTAGTTTGGTTAGAACTTTCTGTTTTCATCTTACCGATATTTAGTGTTTAAATATTATGGCTAGGTAAATATTGTTCAAAGCTGAGCCCCTAGGTGTGCTATAATTCTGTTTCCCTTCTTGGAACAACATTTTAGTTTTTTTTTTTTTCTTCCAGAAGTTAGTAGTTGCCTTATTTCTTTATTTTAAAACAAACCTTCCTTATGTACCTATCACTAATTTATCCTGCAAGTCTGTAAAAGAGCCCTCCAACTCCTCTTGACCTGGCTAAATACACAGATGGTCATTCAAGGGCTTTGTGTTCTTGGAGTCCTCCCTGAGAGGCTCCTTCCTGGCTCTTCTCTGGATTGAGGACAAAACATACCTGTGGGGCTGCCATACTGGGACTTTGCTCTACTACCATCCAGGGGATTGCCTTTGCTTTTTTTTTTTTTCCTTTCCTGTGCCATATCCTTTTTTTTTTTAAGATATCCCCACCCCCCACCCCAAGCCCATACTTTATTTCCTTACTTTGGCAGAGCATTCAGTCCTGTAGCCTTTGATTAGTAGTTTGGCTTGGTGTTAAATCCTGTGTTCAAAATATACTTCCCTTAGAATTTTGAAGGCATGAATGAATCACTGCTACTGTTAAAAAGGTAAATCCAGAGCTAGTGGCTCACTCCTGTCAGCCTAGTAACTCAAGAGGCTGAAGTCAGGATCTTGGTTTGAAGCCAGCCTGGGCAGGAAAGTCCATGAGACTCTTCTCTCCAATAAACTACTCAGAGAAAGGAAGAAGTGGTGTTGTGGCTCAGGTAGTAGAGTGCTAACCTTGAGCACAAAGAGGCTCAAGGCTATCGTACCCAGACCCTGAGTTCAAGCCCCAGGACCAGCAGCAAAAGAAAAGAAAAAAGAAAAAGTTAAATGTGCTGCGAGTATAGCTCCGTGGTAGAGCACTTGCTTGATCATAATGTGCAAGACCCTTGGTTCCTTCCCAGAACTTTAAGAAAGTGAATAACAGGCACCAGTGCCTCAAGTCTATAATCCTAGCTACTCAGCAGGCTGAGATCTGAGGGGTGTGGTTGGAAATCACCCAGGCAGGAAAGTCTGTGAGGCGAAGTGAACCTGTGGCTCAAGTGCCAGCCTTTTATTTATTTATTTTTTTGGGGGGGCAGCCCTGGGGCTTGAACTCAGGACCTAGGCACTGTTTCTGAGCTTCTTTTGCTTAAGGCCAGCACTCTACCACTTGAGCCATAGTGCCACGTCCAGCTTTTCCTGTTTATGTGGTTCTGAGGAATTGAACCCAGGGTTTCATGCATGCTAGGTAAGCACTCTACACCCTACCACTAAACCACATTCCCAGCCCAGAGTGTAGCCTTGAGAAAAAAA